CAGTGCATTGTGGGCCTAGCGAAGGCAACTACATCTGAGTGGAGATATACTGAAAGAAGAGGGCCCAGCATGATGGAATTTATGTGGAGCACATGAAAGATAGTTTCGCTATTGATCAGTTATAATCAACATTGTTTTGTATACAAAATGAAACTCTTAACTATTTAACTGCGCTGTGCCATAAGACCTACAGCACGATATCTATTTGTATATTTAACACTCTTCTTTCAGTATATCTCCACTCAGATGTAGTTGCCTTCGCTAGGCCCACAATGCACTGGAAAGGAATCCACAAATATACTAGTGGTTGTACGTTGTGTATGTGATATGACTTTGCCATGTTTAATACCGCTTATTTGGCTCGGCATGGCCAGGTAGTTAGGGCACTCGACTCACAATCTGAGAGTCGCGGGTTCGAATCCCCGTCCCACCAAACATGCTCGCCCTTTCAACCGTGGGGGAGTTATAATGTTGCGGTCAATCTCACTATTCGTTGGTAAAAGAGTAGTCCAAGAGTTGGCTGGCTGTCCTTCTTCTGGTCAATAGTTTAAAATTTGGGATGGCTATTACCTGAACCATAGGAATCTCTAACCTGGTCGTTTATCCCATTTATGCATTATGTTGAAAATATTAATATCTTCCGTTCTCATGAACTACAGGAATGAATTGAGCTTAAAGACTGCATTTCCTCTGTGTACTGTTTGCCCTTACGTTTTATAATCAGCACGAATATCACTGAGAAAATCATTTTCACATTACACCTCACGCAAATAACGCACACTTTTATGAGGCATGCTGGGCTGGCCAAGAAAGATGGTGATTAGGAATTCTATTGCATGTCCTACATCCTTAATCGGCTCTTATTATTCCACTTTGGCACCAAGAAATTTCGTTGCAATAAAATCTGCCCATTCACTGCCCTAAATCGCTTTTGCGTCTTTGGATGATTAAATAAATAAAATGATTTATCACACACAGAATATACTTTGCTTAGCATGATGCTGTAAATACTCTTTATATATATATTTGTTTGTATACAGTTCCACCAGTGAAATATTTAGGAATTTCTACTTCCACGAAAACCTTTTAACTGTATTTTTTATAGAAGATTACAAAATTGTAATTTTACAAGTTGAGTCCGTTCTTCTACGGTAAATTATTTGCAGATTATACTGTTAAAACATAGACAACGCTCAACATAAGTAATTTTTCTAAGGGGATCTCATTACCGTTTCGTGTAGCTTTGCGAAATATTTAAGCATACACTAGATTGTTTGCATGTTTATACGTTTAATTTCGACACCCGCAGTTGGCAGAGCACTGACAGTCCATTTTAAAGATTTGCACTTAACAACAAAAAATAAAAATAATTCTGCTAGAAAAAGGATGTCGTTCAACATGTTTTGAAGTGGCTTCAACATGATCCAGTATCCTACCAATTGGACCTTGATTAAGGCAACGTTTCGGTATACTATCAGAAAAGTTTCATCAGGATAATTTCTACTATACTGTTGGAAAGGTCGCTATCAGAATTGCATCAAGAGGACCATGTCAGGATGACGTTTTGGTATACTATCGAGAGGAATTCATCAGGATAACACTTTGATATACTATCGAGATAGCTATATCAGGATGCCGTCTCGATAGGTTATTAAGTGGTATGATCAAAGCCACGTTTCGGTGTACTATCGATACGTATAACTTAGATATATTTTAGCACATATTCGTTCCATCGGGATGACGTTTCTACTGTCTTCCTTAATCAAAACCTGATAAAATATTTCTTAGCATAACGAAACGTTACTGAACCATACACTTAAAACATCATGCTGTCATAACAATTTTGAAAATGGAAGAAAAGAAAATACGACATTCAGTGGGTCTGAAACTATAAAATGCAACAAATCAAAACACTCTTTAGACACATCCGTACGGTTAATCTTTTTTTAACAGTTTACAAGCCATACCACGTTCATAATCTGTTTTCCTTTTACTCGGTATTACTCATTTCCTGTTTTGATCATATAAACTATGAAGTGTACTTCACTTATAAGCTCGTAGCCCAAGATACCACTACAGTGGTGAAGAAAGGCATCTGTATTAGTAAGTCTTTTCCGACTGTACATCCATGTTAATCAGTCCTGATCCGTCAGTGCGTGAAACACGCCGCGAGATGGCAGGAGCCAGTGACGTCATTTGACAGTTGACGTTTGTGTACACTGACGAAATACTTACACAAGTCAACTCGATCTGAAAACTGCTGTATCACGAGGTCGTGTACCAACACTTAAATTTTATCTGTTCTATGGAAGTTTACCTTAAATAAGATGAAAAAAAATATCTTAAAAAGTAGTGAATCTTAAATCCAAATTGTAAAACATATTTTGTTTATTTTACATTCTTACAAACTGTTATTATTTTACTTCCAAAACAATGATAAAGCACCCCAAACTTGTATATATATATATATAAACGTAGAAAATTTATTTCCATTTTCTATCTGCCAACAAGTTAATATTCTATTAATATAAGTTTATCTAAATCGTGTATTTTTTATTTTACTATCAATTTCTCAATATAATAAATAATCAAGTTAAATCAAGAAAACTACTATCCTTACCCTTACAAATATTTTAGTAAATACATTTGGAATTTTGGCAGAAAGCCATTGTTTTTTCTTAGGCCTTTATATGTAAAGTTACGAAATATTAACTCTATATATGCTAGCAGTGATGCAATTAGTCAATTTGTGGTTTTATTATAGTAACTGGGATCGTCCCAATACATTTCCCCATGCGAACACAGATTTCTAAGTTCGGTTTGACATTTGATTAGACGAATAGATAACAAATATTTTTTGGGGAACTCAAACCTGCTCTTTTGTTTAAGCTGAAACTACATTGAAGCGTTATTTAAACAAAGATCTCTGTGCACGCTTCAAAAATAAAGTGAATCAATCAAACATATTTGATTTTCATCTAGTTAAACAACTTAGAGGTTGCTACACATCTATTTATCTATTCATTGTGCTTGGGTAATTATTTATCTATTCATTGTGCTTGGGTAATTATTTATCTATTCATTGTGCTTGGGTAATTATTTATCTATTCATTGTGCTTGGGTAATTATTTTATTTATCTATTCATTGTACTTGGGTAATTATTTTATTTATATATTCATTGTGCTTGGGTAATTATTTTATTTATCTATTCATTGTGCTTGGGTAATTATTCTATTGATTTATTCATTGTACTTGGGTAATTATTTTGATGTCCCGTCACGTTGTGACCATCTTATATATACCAGCCTACCCCCAATCTAGTAAATGCTAGGGCATTCACGAAGGAACAGGATGTTTCTAGAAAACATGGCGTGACACTAGTCACGTGACCTCGCTGACGCAACAGTATAAAAAAAGCTTAGTATGACACAAAACTAAACCCCAGTGGCACAGCGGCATGTCTGTGGACTTACAACGCTAGAATACCCGTGGTGGGCAGAGCACAGATAGCCCATTGTGTAGCTTTGTGCTTAATAACAAACAAACAATGAAACAAAACAATATCTTAATTATTTGACTACGTACTTCGTACTTTCAACCTGAGCGGCATCTTACGCAATACATGAGCTATACGATCAGGACTAGACAAAGACATTCTTAATTTAGAACTAATGATCAAAAAAAGGGCAATCAGTTAGCAGCACCCATCATCTATACAGTTACTGTTAACTGGGTAGCGATATTCACAGTCATACTTATACTGCCCACGCAGCTAAAACTGTTGAACGTGTTCAACGGCATATTGTAACCCGAATATTGGACCTTCTAATTCGCAGCCCGGTACACAAACCTATAGGGCACGTTTGGTCCATAATTGGCCTATGATAATGTTGCACAGTAAAGATTGTTTTTATTTTCAACTTTTTATTTATTTATTTATTTACTGGAAGTTCAAAGAAATAGATAAATAAAATAATTACCCAAGCACAATGAATAGATAAATAAAATAATTACCCAAGCACAATGAATAGATAAATAAAATAATTACCCAAGCACAATGAATAGATAAATAAAATAATTACCCAAGCACAATGAATAGATAAATGTAGTTTGATTTGCCGCTCTCGTTTCCATTTTTTTTATCCCACTTCTGACACCAGTTTGTTACATCTCCGTTCGTTAGTTGATTTTCCGTAACTTCGTTCCGACGAAACTTTAGCTACACAAGTCCTTACTTAATAAAACTGGTTTATTCTTTCCGAATACAACTTTACGATACACTTAATTTCAACAGTCGCGCTATAACAAACGCTATATCTCACGTGGCCAACAATATTTTGTCCGCATACATTCAATTACTCATTACACTGGCATAGCAGACTTGATGGCAGCAATACAAGAACAGCTGAAGAAACAAGAAGAACGAGAAAAGAAACAAGAAGAACGAAAATAGAAATTACAACAGTTGTTAGAGGAAAAAGAAAGAAACAAGAAGAACGAGAAATTAAACAAGAAGAGAGATTACAGCAGTGGCAAGAAAACCTGCAACAGTGGCAGCTCGAACAGCAAAATAAACAAGAGAGATTACAGCAGTTGTTGGAGGAAAAAAAAGAAACAAGAAGATAGATTACAACAGCAATTGGAGGAGAAAGAACATAAACAAGCAGAAAGACTACAGCAGTGGCAACTGGAACAAGAAAGGAAACAAGAAGTACAAACGGAAAACATTAGTAAATTTCAGAGCGAATTAGATACGTTAAAGGACGATTTATTGTATTTTACACAAGGAGGATGCATTAACCATCGACTTAAGGAAAACATTAGTAAATTTAAAAGCGAATTAGATACGTTAAAGGACGATTTATTGTCTTTCACACAAGGAGGATACATTAACCATCGACTTAACCAGCCCCAGACAATGACAAGCCCCTTCCAGACTTTGCAGCTAAACCCTAATGCAGACATCTTCAGCCCTGTTAGAAGTCACATCCCAGATATGAATGTTAATAATAGGAGTGATCCAGTGCGAAGGAAGCAACAGGATAATGATGGGAAATCACCGTAGGAAGCATATAGAGCACAGTTTGAGCTACTGGCAGAGATGAATGGATGGACAGAGGAGCAGAAAGCTGTATATCTGGCAACGAGCTTGAAGGGATAATCACTGGAAATACTTGGACAGTTGTCAGCAGACGATAGACACAACTATAGAGCACTGGTAGCTGCTCTAAAACTCAGGTACGGAATCCAAAATCAGTCAGAAGTCTACAGGGCTAGGTTTAGAACGAGAATCCGTGCTAAAGGGGAGAGCCTGCAAGAGCTGGCACAGGACTTGGAAAACATGGCACACAAGGCCTACCCAACTGCACCACCCGATCTCCTCAAGTTGTTGCTGAGGGATCAGTTCGTAGATGCCTTGGACAGTCCACAACTTAAGATACAAGTGAAGCAAGCACACCCCTCTACCATGCAGGACGCAATGGCCAGAGCTCTCGAATTTGAATCCTACATTAAGTCCAGCACAGAGGTACCAAGGTTAGTACAGTCATCTGGATCCAAGGCCAAAAAAGATCAGCTTTCAGAGAAGTTTGAGGGACTTTGCTGGCACTGTAACAAACCTGGGCACAAGAGAGCTCAATTCTGG